ATATATATAGAGAGAGAGACAAAAAGGAAGCATTATCTAGCATAGGAGATAAATTGTTAACCTGTTGCTTGATGTCAGCAGGTAAATCAGATTATAAATTATATATCCTGTTTAAAATGATGCAGTATTATAGTAGATGGAAGTCTGCATAGTGATTAGTGATGAGGAATGTCTATTATGCCTGAGAGATTCCAATTACAGATTTTGGTTAATTCAGATTTTGCCAATTTGCCAAGTGATCTGCCAGTCTTATGGCAGATAATTTGCAAATGTGACTGACCTACAATTGATCAGGCAGTTCCATGTGGGTCTATTCAGACATGACTCTTGCTTTAATTGCTTTTGACTCCCAGATAAAGGCATATATGGAATTTCAGGTTGGAGTTGATGGTCTTATGGATGCTAACGCTATGATTCTATGAGGTTTTTTTTCACCAGTTGAAAAATCTGAAAGGCCACAGCCTTCTGTGCTTTGGGGAAAAATGGTAAGATGCTACATTTACCTATATTTATATGCTCATAAAAATCATTTTTTTAACCAATGAAAACCTATTTGATAATAGAATTTTCCCTTAAGGTTTCAAGGACACCTGCAGGAAGAAATCCCAATTTTTTGAGTGGAAATTCTTCCAAAGTTAATTTTAGATCTTCCTGTCTGTCTGCTGCCTGTGCCATGCAAGTTACTGAGGGGATTTTTGGAAAACTCAGAAGCTTGTACATGATTGGGTGACGTGTTGCCCATTCCTAATGTAACTATTATTAAACTCTGGACTGCAGGTTCGTTTTGCTTTTCAGCATCCAGGCCCAGCACTTGTTCTTTGAGCTCAGTAAACGTTCAACCCGTATAGCAGATTTTGTGTCAACAGCCTTGAAGGTGACGCGAGGAAAGAGCGGAGGGAAATGTTCTGTCTATGGGAGTTACAAACAGTCAGGAACGAACGCTTGTTACGCTAGAGAACAACTCCTCCACTCAACTGGCGTGTCGTGAGAGAGAATCTGAAGATACTTCATTCTCGCTCCAACTAAACCCGCAGCTGGGAAAGGACCGTAGGAGCGGATAAAGCACTCCGCTTAACTTTATAGGTCCTCATTCTAAAGCTTCGCGGACCCGCCCGCATCGACCTTTCCCTACAGGAAAAGCGGCCGCTGCCACACGCCGCCTCGAGCATTTTGTCCGACAAAACCCACGGCTCGCCTCGCCTTTTTCACCCCCCCCCCCCCAACACACCCTCCCCAGCCCTTCCCTTGGCTCGACCGTCTGGAGATAACGCCCTCGTTCTCGGAGGCGGGCGGCAAAAAAAAAAAAAAAAAAAGGAAAAAGAGGAGGAGGGAGGTTTAAGCTTTCTAGAAGCGGGAACGCGCGCCCACTCCGAGGGAGGGTTGTTATTCCGCGCTCTGGCACTGGCCGCGGTGGCGACTTTGTGCTTTAAATTGGTCTCAAAGCCGATTACGGCTCATCTCCCGAGTGATTATTTTCCTTTCTGGCTCCCGGTGGAGGAGAGGGCTGGGGTCGGGGTGGAGAGATTGAATGGGCATCAGCTGCCGGAGAAGGAGGAAGAGGAGGACAGGTCCGGACGCCTCAGCGAGCGCGGCGCGGCTGTAGTCGGGGAAAGCGCAGAACTTTCCCGGGCGAAAAGAAGCGCGAGGCGCCCAGAACAAGGATGCTGCCGGCGCCCCTGGGCGGGCTGAAGCGCTCGGAGCAGCCGCCGGCCGAGGCGAAGGAGCTCAGCTACAGCCCCGGACTCCAATAGCGTCCAAGGTGGCGACACCCCCCACCAGGACGGAGGAGCGCGCCGGCGCGAGGCTTTGCAGTGGTGTGCGCCACCGCCGAAAGGCTGATGGCTCTGGGTTCCGTCTGTTTTCGTCTCGCCTGTCCGGAGAAGCCGCGCTGCTCTTCGACGACGCGCTGCTGACGGCAGGGGCTCCTTCCCCCCCGTTGATCCGAGACGGTTCGCCGTCGGCGCTGTGGAGGCACCATGCAGAAAAGCGTGCGCTACAACGAAGGGCACGCCTTGTACCTCGCCGTGCTGGCTCGCAAGGAGGGCACCAGGCGCGGCTACCTGAGCAAAAAGACCGCCGAGACCAGCCGCTGGCACGACAAATGGTTCGCCCTGTACCAGAACATGCTCTTCTATTTCGAAAGCGAGCAGAGCACCCGGCCCGCCGGCGTCTACATGCTGGAAGGCTGCAGCTGCGAGAGGGCGCTCGCTCCAAAGAGCGCATCCACCTCCAGCGTGAAGGACTCGGCGCTGGAGAAGCAGGTAGCGGCCCCGCCCTCGCTAGGGTTTCCCCCCTTCCTCCGCCCGGCTCTCCGTCTCCTCCTTTGCTTAGGCTCCCTTCCCGTCAGGGGACGATGGCACAGAAAAGGGGCTCAACTTTAAAACGGGGCGCCTTGGCCCTGGGCCACCGCGGGGTCTTCTCCGCTGAAGTTCTCGCTTTGGGTAAAGGAGGAGGAGGAGGAAAGGAGGTCGTAAGGCAGGTGGGGATATGTGCTGTTCTGCCCACGGAGGTTTGGCTCTTCCTGAGCTTGCAAGTTTCAGCTCTCGGCTAGCTTCTCTCAACCTGTCTGAAGTTGTATAAAGGATTCCTGCTTGAGCAGGGGGTTGGATTAGAAGACCTCCACGGTCTCTTCCAACTCTGTTAATTCTGTTATTTAACCTTCTGGGTGAGTTGTGATATAAACTCCTCCGAGTTGCGCAGCTGGCGCTGGAAAGGCTGCCGAATTAGTTCGGGTGTGCTTGAAGCAGAAAATGTCTTTAATTTTAAACGCAGCGCAAACAGCTCAACGTGAAACATTCAGTCCAAATGTTTAGCCTTCTCTTTCTCTTCAGTCGCACCGAATTTTGGAATGGCTTGACTGATCTCAGAGAAGAGTAACTAGAAAGTTACCTTAGCGAATGTTCAACCTTACTCCTCACAGTGGGGATGAAATTTAGTCAAAGGTGTGATTTTAAACACTTTTTTTTTTGGGGGGGGGGAGTCCCCAAGAGAACAATTGGAACATTTCTCTTCCCTGACAAATGTAGTTAGATTAACATGTCTTTAAAAAAAGCTGTCAGGGGAATTGAAGGTATTTTCAGTCTCTTTAAATAAAGCCTCTAGATTTTTCAACCCATAGAGTACAGGATAAGACAGCAGCTAAACTCTTCAACATTCCCTTGAATTAGGGATCAGTGTTAATGTTTGGTTTTTAAAATCCTTGGCCAACTTTTGGTAGATACTGTTGTTTTTCTCAGTCTGCCTGACAGGTGCAAATTATGTTTTGTTTCCTGATGTTTTTGCTGGCATATAGCAGTGACTGCTGGCTGAAAAAAGAGATCTCCTGATTCTTTTTAACTCCTTAATAACATTAACTTTCAAAGAGACATGAGAAAATGCATACAGTGCATGTGCACATCAAAATTCAATATATCAAGGCAATACATGTAGTCTTTGACTTAGGACCACAATTGAGCCAAACTTTACATTGCTAAGTGAGAAATTTTGCCCTGTTTTACGATTTTTCTCCCCACATTTGTTAAGTGAATCACTGCAGTTGTTAAGTTAGGAACATGGTCTTTCAGTGAATCTGGCTTCCCCATTGACTTTGTCAGAAGGTTACAAAAGATGATCACATGTTCCTGGAACACTGCAACCATCATAAATATGAACCAATTGTGAAACATCCGAATGTAAATCACGTGACCATGGGGATGCTGCAATGGTCATAAGTGTGAAAAATGGTCATCACTTTTTTCAGTGCTGTTGTAACTTCGAACTGTCTCTAAATGAACTGTTGTAAGTCAAGTACCTGTATAGTACAGTACTACAGTACTAGTCTTTCTATTTATACAACCTTAGAATATTGGCAATACTTGTTTATGAAAGAGATTATGAAGGACATGTATGCATAATTTTGACTAGCACTGATGATGTTCCCTAGTGTGAGTAATGAAATATCTGTAAGAAAACAACCAAGCTCAGAGAGCACCAAGGACTTCTACTTATACTTTTGTATTGCCTGTCTGCAAAAGAAATACAGCACAATAATAAGAACACTCATTTTGTCTCTAGTTTCCCTTTAGAAAGTTTTTGTTGTTATTATAAAACAGCAATAATTTAGTGGACATGCAGCTTTGACCAACTTTCTTCTTGAATCTAATTCTGTGTTTAATGCAATTGTAGCTGCTGTATTGGCTAAGCAGGAAAACATTTGGAAAAAAGGGGTCCAATCATAACTGTCATTCTTGGCAAGCCAAGACACTGAAGTTTTATTTCACTCTTGGAAAACAGTATGCTCTGCAAATTATTTTGACACAAAACACATGAGTTTTAATTCAGGACTGGAACACTCAAAATAGGTATTTTGAGGTGAGAACATTTTTGCGGTTGTTTTGTACATTCCTGGTTATAGTCCAACTCATCAGAAGGCACCACATCAGAGAAGATTGGTCTAAAGTATGCTGGTTGGAAATTTGAGAGATGTAATCCAATTTATCAGAAATACACCAGATTGGGTCTAGAATAAGGCTTTTAAATATTGCTACCTCTTTTTGTACTATATCCCCTGGGGATACTGATCAGCTCTCAGTGTGGAACAAGGAACTAGATGGTTTTCAATGGAAAAAAAGGTGTGATAACTTAATGGTGTACTGCCACTTTTGAAAAGTGATCGGTTTTCCATGACATATCATGAAATGTAATAGTAAAGGTGTTAGTCAGAGATGAAAGAGATCCTCAGCCATAGAAAATGATGTGGTGGCTTTGAGGTAGTCATTCTTAATATAAGCTGCCTGGAAGGATTGTTCTTATGAGAAAAAATGGAGGAAGAGGCAGAGCTGTTTATGCCATCCTGAGGAAAAGATACAATATAAATTTGATTAATAAATTGATTTATTCTATTTGGAAACTAGTTTTCGAGCTTTTAATGTCAAATGTTTCAAGTATTTGAAATGTGTAAGCCTTCAGATGTTTAAGCACAGTTAAGCCAAATATTTCTGAACTTTTGCATATTAAAAACAGATTGTATACTGATTTGTACAATTTATCAAACCTTACTGAATTAATTTGAATTTTGGGATCATGATTTTTTATTTCTTGAAATATAATTCTGGCATTTCTTTAAATATAATATGTGGAAACAATGTGTCCAATTTTCCTGATGATGAATCAAAAGAGCTCAGTGATGCTTATAAGATGAATATATTTCAATTTAGATACCGCTATAGTTCAAAATCAGGTTTAGATTCACAAATGGGAAGCAATTAGCAATGGTAGTTTTTAAAAATTGGAAATATTATTGTAAAATTGAAAGTTTAGGAAACGATGCATTTTAACTGATATTTTGACTCAATACAGCACTATTCTAGACTCTCTTAAAACTACCAATAAAATACTTTGGTTATTGAATTAAATTGTTAATTCATATAGCTTGCTTGATCTA